AAGTGTTATTTGTACACATTTAGACCAGGTATAAAAGGGAGATTTAAATAAAACGCTTGTGTGTTAATCCAGGTGACGAGAATATTTAAGTAAGTATCTAAACACATAGCCGAGTGTGACAGCTTTTTGACAGTCGCCTGGTCCCTTCATCGATCAGCGGGCTCTCCTTAGGGCCTGAACCCCGGACACACAGCCCGGTAACGCAGCAACTTGTCCACCCTTTCGGGGTGGAGGATATCGGGAAACAACGGGATTTCGTCTCGTTTTCTGATATGAAAGAGGAAGGGTTTTGGTTTTGCACACATCGGATAAAACTTTGAAAGGAAAAGACTTTATTAACGTAAAGCGAACGGCTCAACTACATACATATTCCGAAACAACGAACAGATTTTCTTCTCAAAAGAACTACTTCTGAAATCAAGAAGACATAATTACATATAATAGTTGGAAACACGGAGTGTAGAAAAAAAGCGGAAAACAAGTAAGTAAAATGTACTTAAAAGAATGAAAACATATTTTTCATCAATCGATACTTGTTAGATTGTTTTCGTTTCTTTAACTGATATCGTCAACACAGCAACACATTACCATGGAGGTTACAGTATGGTTGGGTGGCATGGTGGCAAACACACATGCCGTTAACCAAGAAGGTCCGATTTTTGGTAAACCGCAACGGGTATACGTTTTCTCCTATAAACTCAGTTTTCTAACTTATTCGCAACTAGTCAGTCCCTATATTGTCAACGAAAGTGAATGGCTAAATTTGTATCTTTTTCTCCCATAAAAAGTGTCGAAACAAAGCATCGTAGGCGATGTAGACTAGACAATAATCGGGACAGAAAACAAGTCATAGTGAGACAAATTGGCTGGAATCAACATATATTTTCAAAGGAGAAGTGGAGGAAAATACTTAACCCGATTTGTATCATTGTTGAATACTAATTGGTCAACCTAATACAACTCAGTATTGTTCATGGTCATCATGATGACCTCATTGGGAAATATTTCCTCTCGTGGTATAATGCTAGATAAGTTCGTTAGTATGCCTCGTTGTTTTGTTGTTGTTTGAGAACAGGGTTGTGCTGGATTATTTATTTATTTGTTTATTTATTTGATTAATCAAGATTTGCACGGCAAATGCCGTCAAATGAACAGAAGACGCTGACACGCACATGTTTTTGTTTGGATTTGTTTTATTATTTACTTTTTTAATGGTCTCCGCGTTAATCTTTTGATATATCTTGCCCCCGTTTCATCGATTTTGAGTTTGAATTTCCATTTTTACTCCACTGGTCAACTTAATGTTACGATCAAGCTATCTTTTTATTATCGCCCTACTGTAGGGTCCTAGCATTACTGACGAGTCCTAGAAGGAGGGAACGGCATACTGTAGGATCCTAGCATTACTGACGAGTCCTAGAAGGTAGGAACAATATATTGTAGGGTCTTAGCATTACTGACGAGTCCTAGAAGGAGGGAACGGCATACTGTAGGATCCTAGCATTACTGACGAGTCCTAGAAGGAGGGAACGGCATACTGTAGGGTCCTAGCATTACTGACGAGTCCTAGAAGGAGGGAACGGCATACTGTAGGGTCCTAGCATTACTGACGAGTCCTAGAAGGAGGGAACGGCATACATTACTGTCCTAGGGAGGGAACGGCATACTGTAGAAGGCAGTTAGGAACGCATTAGTCCTAGAAGGAGGGAAGGATACTGTAGGGTCCTAGCATTACTGACGAGTCCTAGAAGGAGGGAACGGCATACTGTAGGATCCTAGCATTACTGACGAGTCCTAGAAGGAGGGAACGGCATACTGTAGGATCCTAGCATTACTGACGAGTCCTAGAAGGAGGGAACGGCATACTGTAGGATCCTAGCATTACTGACGAGTCCTAGAAGGTAGGAACAATATATTGTAGGGTCTTAGCATTACTGACGAGTCCTAGAAGGAGGGAACGGCATACTGTAGGGTCCTAGCATTACTGACGAGTCCTAGAAGGAGGGAACGGCATACTGTAGGGTCCTAGCATTACTGACGAGTCCTAGAAGGAGGGAACGGCATACTGTAGGGTCCTAGCATTACTGACGAGTCCTAGAAGGAGGGAACGGCATACTGTAGGGTCCTAGCATTACTGACGAGTCCTAGAAGGAGGGAACGGCATACTGTAGGATCCTAGCATTACTGACGAGTCCTAGAAGGAGGGAACGGCATACTGTAGGATCCTAGCATTACTGACGAGTCCTAGAAGGAGGGAACGGCATACTGTAGGATCCTAGCATTACTGACGAGTCCTAGAAGGAGGGAACGGCATACTGTAGGATCCTAGCATTACTGACGAGTCCTAGAAGGTAGGAACAATATATTGTAGGGTCTTAGCATTACTGACGAGTCCTAGAAGGCGGGGACACCATACTGTAGGGTCCTAGCATTACTGACGAGTCCTAGAAGGAGGGAACAATATATTGTAGGGTCTTAGCATTACTGACGAGTCCTAGAAGGAGGGAACGGCATACTGTAGGATCCTAGCATTACTGACGAGTCCTAGAAGGTAGGAACAATATATTGTAGGGTCTTAGCATTACTGACGAGTCCTAGAAGGCGGGGACACCATACTGTAGGGTCCTAGCATTACTGACGAGTCCTAGAAGAACGGAACAATGATAATGTGCAGATTAATTTATCATTTAGCTACATCTCTTATTTTGTATCTAGCATTAATTTTGTATCGAAAACTGAAATCTTGTCAATATAATGACGAACTACTGATTTCACCCAAATTGTTCTTGTTCTGTTTCTTAAGGTTTGAATTGTTTAATCCCTGTATTAAGTAGCTTTAGACGATCACTATCGTGTTGAACGTTCCAATATCATCCCCTTAGTTGTGGAGGGCGTTAGCCGCTGGTGTATGAGTTAGAGAAAATAATTAGGCAGCTTGGTCATCTACATTCAGCGCGACTCTACAGAAAATGGTAACAAAGCCGGCATCGAATTCCGTACCGAAATCTACCGCAGGTTAATGCGTCCTTTGTAAGAAAGTTTAATAAAATGTAATTATATCAGTACTGACCAGGACTTGTTTTGTCTAATAGAACCCATTTAGTTGCCGGTCGAGTGGCATATCTAGTGTGAAATTAATCACAGGGCTGACTGTATGTTCGGGGCACGAGCGTTGGTGCCTACTGTCGGAGGCTTAGGTAAATACGCTAAACCAAATGGCAGTCGATTGATAACACCTTTTGTACAATTGTTTGGACAACAAAATCACGAACTCTTTCAGACTTATCAACATCATTTTAATTTTTGACATTTGAAAGCGACTTTCAGAGATAATTGTAATCCTTAGATAGACTGTATATAATGTAATTCATGGTATTTGCTAAGTCCGGGTCAGTCATTACAAGTATACTGTACCGACACATAGAAAACATAGGATGTTGGGGAAAAGTGCTAAACTCGGAGTTTCCATCTCCCAAACAAGGATGTTTCCAGTTTCGATCGCCTATGACTCGTGGGTATATTTTGGCCTCAGCATCCTGTACACAGTGTTGTAGTGTTGTGTAGAACGTCTGATTAGTGGATCATAATTCTGATGTTGATACTCGTAAGATAAGTATATTTTTGAGGTTCGTCAATTATTTGAATCTGTACGTAGGTTACAGTACAATAGAGCAGGATGCATTGGTCGTTGTCTTATTTAACCACACGCGGTGTTCGTTCAATGTATCACGGAGTTATAGAGTAAAATCTATTGTCCGTGGATGTACATATAAATTACATATTATGTTGCTTTTATTTTTTACATCGCAAACATTTATATCACATCCAGACTGAGTCGCAATATAGACTATTTAGAGTGTTGTCGAGTTGTTTCTCACTCCAAAGGTTGAAATACTGTTTGTCATGACACCATACTTCAAACAGTGGACACGACAAGGAATTATTCTATTGCAAGTGAGAAATTGTTATACATGTCACGACTGACCGCACAATGTGGATTTGAGATCGGATTAGGTGTGTATTTGGGTCAATTATAACCTGTATAGGGCGAGGATTAGTAGGATAGGCTAACGATTAATAAGTAGGGGTGATCTAAGGGTTGGATGCGTATGACTGTGTTATACGTTACTATTACAATCCTGCAAGTTATTTAAGTCTAGATTCACAATGAGCTTTTGTTCTCTTGCACAATTCCTAGTTATCTTTGAATACTTATTTGAAGCTTTCTCCTAGTATTCCGGAATTTTTATCAATGCAGTGCTGGTATTTTCTTCTGCTGTTTGGTTCCGTTGTTCTATAATTCTCATTTGGGAACGTAACTTTACTTACTTGGATTGACCAAGGTTTACATGGTGGTTGTCGTTGATGAAGAAGCAGACGTTTACTCTTCCGGAACACCTGGTCTTGTTCCCCTAGTACTTTTTCAGACGTCTCCGTGTAAATCTTTCCTTTGTTCATATTTTGAAATAGTTTTATTTAATTTGAGTTTGGATGACAATTATGTTGACATGTTAGTATTTTCTTGTTGTTTTTAGGGCCTAAATTTTGAAACATCAAAGGCGAAAACTTGATCAGAAGAAATGTCAAAATCTGAAAGCGGAGGTTCTGATAATTTCTAAAGAATGTCAAATACGTGTATATATTCTGAACCGTGCATCATCACGAATTATGTCACCTTGATGTTTTCTTGTAAAGTTTCGTTTTATCGTTATTTCTTTATGAGCTTCTAAAAAATAAAAACAAAACTCCTATCTATATTCGCTTTCTGTGTTGACCTCATAGGGTTTCCTATGAGTCGTCTTTAAAGAGCTGCTTGTACAACCTTGTAAGTATAACCGTTACCGACGCTCAGCTTACATTCAAGTTTCAATGTAATCACAAATTCACTTCATACAACGTAGCTGTAAAGGCATTGTGTTTACTTCATACAAATTTATTCTTTTTGAATACATCATCAAGATTCGTTTGCCTATTTCAGATTCTGAGCTGCTCACCCCACAATGTCCATGGTAAAACTAGTATCGGCCCAGCCAATTGCTTTCGGCAAGAATGCGCTTCTCCAAAAACGCTTCGAGAGCCGCTGCAATCATTTGGATCATGACCATCGCGCCACCCAGCGAAAGATCCAGGGAGCGGCAGAACAGTGTGTTGTATCAGCCTATAGCCTATTGGTGGAGGCTGAACAGTATGAGCGGGAGAAGATAGATAGAGGGGACATCAAATATGATAGTTTTACAGGCCGGTATTCAGCTATGCCAGTACATGGCAAGGCACGCAGACACTTACGGAAGGTACGTCCTTTGACAGCGGCAGGCCATGGGACAAGCACACCTCGGGTTGAGCTGGACAGGAAGAGGCCTTCAACAGCTATTGCGAGCCTTGGCAATTTATCTATGACAGAAATTGACAATGAACCGACATTTGAAAGCCAAATGTCTATGGAACGAAAAAACGCTACAACTGCGAACAATCCGTCACTTGTTGTTCAACAAACTCTAATTGAAAATAAAAATGAAATGGAATCGCAATCCAATTCTCACTCCAAACGGACTTCAGATCTTCATGTCACCATCCCGAAAACGACGTCACAAAACATGGTCCACCTTCAACCGAATTCCTCTCCCCTTCGTGCCTCAGAACGCAATGGTAGACTTTTGACAGACCGTTCTGCATCGCGGGCGTCCTCTACACAATCCTCTATGCGGGAATCAAGAGGATGTAATAAGGACGTGCGTAACGGGAAAATTCGTCGTCCACGTACAGCTGATGACTTCCGTCGGAAGTGTGACGAAAATGAGATGACAACATACTGGAACAAGAGAGTCACAAAACTGATAAAACGGTGGAACCTGGAGGACATGTCAGATCCTTTTTTAACCAATGACAGTATGCCCTACAGTGAGGATATTGTTCCCCCAAAAGAACCCCCCTCTCCGATTCTCGAGCCCCCTACTCGTTCACATGAACCAGAAACGGATGCATCTATTAAGACTAAGAAATTCATTCAGACATATGGAAGCCAATTTCGTTCACTGCTCCGACCGAATTCTGCGCCCACTGTTACAGAGAGCAAGACTCGGCGTCGTCCTGTGCAAGTGACACGCCAAGAGCTGAATAGCATCAAAGCTGACATATCCCGCAGGCGAAAGCAAACAAATGCAATTCTAAGAAAGAGTAAACGTATTCGAAACCACATACAAACACTTGCAGACTGGAAATATGAAGGATAACAGGCATGCACATGTAAAAAAGATGAACGAAAGTGAGATTATCAAACATCCATCATAAAAATAGAAATGTAATTTATTGTTGGTTAGGTATGACATTTCACATTCTTCATATACCAAACATTAAAAGAACGAGTAAAACGTGATACTGTGTTCATTTTTACAGGTAAAGTGTGCATTTAGGATCGCCTTAAATTCTTTTACAACACAAATTATTAGAAAACAATAAACAGACCATTTGATATTATTGATATTAAAGGATTTCCTGCCCGTCACAACTAATCCCGTGACGGGATTTTATACTGATAAATATTATATCAAACAGACAGTAAGTAATCTCCATATCGGTGTGGAAAACGGGAACCCGACAAATGCGGTCGAACACCCTGATCTCCAACGTCAAAGTATCAACGGTGGAATTTCTCTTCGGTTACGTCAGTACATTGTTGTAGCTGCGGGTTAAATTCCCATGTCTGTTTGTTTGGTCACAAAGATTACTCGGTCATGATTTGTCCATTGCATTCACAGATATAAAGACTACATGCAGTGGAATGACAGGCTGATTGTAAATATACATGTAAGTCTCTCTCACCGACGGTTTGTGTCAGTGTATCTAAATCTTCGTCGTGAAGACAAACATAGATCTTCGGCCAAACTACTGGGAAGATATCGAGTGAAATTCTGATCAAAATATTGATACAGAGCTTACATAACACTTAGATAGATATAAAAATAGGTTCGTCGAATCTAAAAAAGGGGGTTCAATGAGTTTTTAAAAATGTTCGCGTGACAGCCTAATCTTATCCGCAACAAAGGTTACATTAGAGACGTTTAAAATCCGGCTGGACAACACGACGGATCAGTAAGGTAAACACAAGCGTATTGATCGGACAGTGTATATACCTAAACTAACACAGGTATACTGTTCACACGGTAGATCTCTGATTGGAAAAAGGCACCTACCATAATGACAGTCGTCCAGCAAATAAAACTTTGTACTATTATGTTCATTTTTAAAATAATTTCATAAATGTCAGTAATATTTATCATTTGTAGACACTTTATACTCATCACCTAACATTTTAATGCGGGTCTGCCGCAGGCGCCCGCGTTATTCATGCAATACAATTACCAAATACCAAAAGCCGCCACTGCCAAAGTAAACTGTTTCACACAAAAATAAAACAGACAGCCAGGCACCAGGGTTATAACAGGAGGTTTTCCCTCCGGTATGGTAACAAACAGTCACATCCTATCGCACCGAAAGTATACTAAACAGCACTAAACTACTGACAAATATTACACATTAGTTGTAATGTAACGACAGGAAATAGCTCCAAATGGCCCGGAAATTGTATCAAACATGTATCAAAATCTTCAGAATTAAAGTCGTGCTTCGTCAACATGTCACTCAGAGCTTAAACCGAGTTACCTGTTGTATTTGATCATCAATGACAATGTAGAACTGTCTACAAGCAATAATTGATCATTTTAAAGTCCGATATTTATCAATTCTCAATTATCACGTAATATATCATCCGTACAATTCTATGTAATTCATAGTATTTGGGTCACGTATTTGGGTCAGAAACTCAGAAATCTTGGCTACATCCGTTCAAAATTCTGCCTTAGATTTCTATAGATGGTCGTAACAATTGCATATCTACCAGTACGGGTATTACCAATGACGTGGCAAAAATGAACACCAATTAAAACGGTTCAGCATTGATTTGTTAGTGTTTTATCACCAGTGTGCTTGACTCGCTGCATTATTGAAGTATACCCGACAATGGTGATACAATGGTCCTAAAGCGCGGGAGCTCTATAACAATTGCGATCACATAACGTTTCCAGTGAAACATATACGGCCACCTTTTCCGCCACAATGGGTTTCAATGCACAACCTCGTTGTCCAAGAGCAAACTACATCCCAAGCAATTCTGGACCATTGTTTGGGCGCGGCACATTTTAATCTTAGCTTCCCGTTCCCATTAATTAATCACGACTTACGTTCTTTAAACAAAGACCCCCGCGTCTTCTTTGTCCACAAAATGTTAAACAAATGTCAGGATTTACTATCGTATTTACTTATGTTCCCAAACGCTGTAGCCAACAACCAAGACAACGATCGTTTTCACGAGGAGATGTACCATGGAAACCGATGGTTCGTTCAGTGTTCATTTAGTAATTTAAGTGTATAACCAGAGAGCAAAATTTCTCTAATTAATACTGTACCTGTAAAAAAATCCAGATTTTTCTTGTTAGAATGTGAGGATATTCGATAAGCAAAACATCCAAGGAATTTATGTACCTTCGATACAAATTTGGTCATCGACAGCAAGGCGGGACAGCGACTTGGATATTTTTCATTTAAAAGGTATAGTGTTTATTTCTTTAAAGTTACCTTCCGTTACCCAGTCATTTCTTCATATAATATATACATCATACATACACCTAACTAGTTTATTGTGTTTCAGCCCAAGCTTGCTGTGATGCCAGTCAAATACTTAAAAACGCTGGACAAGGGCGTACATAATAGAAACACTAAAGTTCTGAAGCGATACGAGGCTAGCTGTAGGGGTTTCGAAAAGGATTATCAAACAGCCATGCGAGGCCATAGAGCAATTCTTGCCGACGATCTTCAGTTCGCATATTATCTTCTCAAACAAATGGAAAAATATGAAGATGAGAAGCTTACCAAAAGAAACGTAGTGGTCCGATGTACATACAAAGTACCTTCCCTAAAACTTGACACGAAGCGCCCAAATTCAAATTTGGAATCAATCTGTCCACAGACAGACAGGCCTTCTGGGTGTGTTGGACAGCGAAAGGACATTCCTTTCGTGCGTCCACTAACGGCCCCAGCGGGTAGATCTTTGACAACCACAGATAAGAAGAATGTCATTCGTAAGCACAACCGATTTAGAAATAAGAACAGTAAGAAAAAGGACGGGAAACCTATTCGATCCCGATCAGCTCCAGTGACCGCCCATCAGGAGGACAGCAATGAGGAGGGTGAGCAGGTACCTCCCACACCCATAGCAAGATTCACACGTACGTACGAGTATAACCGAAAAGTACTACTCTGTCGCAGTCGACAGGAGGAACGTCGCATGGAGAGGATAAGGGAGGCAGAGGAGGAATACGAAAACCAAAGCAACTACAGTGACGACAAGGAGGAGGAAGATGACAATTACTTTGATGTAGAAGAAGCAAGCCACGAGACAAGGAAACACGATTACTGGATGTGGAAAATTGATGTTCTCTTTGAAAAATGGCGACGGAACGACAGGCAATTAGAGGACGATGACATCTACAGTTTGTACGAAGAGGATTTAGATGAGGAAATATTCGATGATAATCAAGTGCAATCCTATACAAAACCAGGAATGAGACAGGTGAACACTTTAGGGCGTACCAAACTAGTAAAATTTACCAGGAACAAAGTCCTGAAGTACCGCTGGGCCTTTGCTGGAGAAGGTTTCAACAAAAGTGCCGAGGACAACCGCAAGATTAGACGCAAATTTATCACTGCCGAGCTTAGTCACCGGGAAAGACAGAAGATACGGGAAGAGGCAGAGACAAAATGTCGGAGGGTGAAAAAAATGGTTCAAGAAAGTGACTACCTTCGCAACGAGGTCTACTTAATGGCGCCATTTTACAAAACGAAACAAGCACTCATCGCCAAGGTAGCTGCAAAACAGCCAGCTTTGTTTCAGTGATAACCACGTGGACCAACATCCGTGCGAGTGACTATGTCAATTTATCAGTACCCTGTAGGTGACGTACTAGTTCATGTCGCAATTAAATTGGATTTGTTTCCCCTTTCAGATTTAGATGTTGACTTGAAAGATAACTAGTATATCAAAGCACCAAAGCACGTAATGCCTGTATTCTTCAGTATGCCTGCCGAACTCTCATGATCAAAATGCTTTGCTTTGCTTCGAGTCCGCTATAAGTGTACATACAATGGAAAGTAAAGAACTGTGTCGCTGACAACTGGTGTTACTTCAAGTGTACGAAATATACACTGTACGTGATCAATGAACTCGATAGACTGTGTATTTTAAACATTACTACTTTAACAGTGGCACAATATTCAGGACATCATCAACAATAATTGAGTATAACATATTAGGCATTCAGGAGTACCATTTGAAGTACTGAATTAACCCTGGACTGTCATTATTGTTAATTGAACTCTGTGATTTTGAAGAAAACTTCGATCACAACAAGGTATGTTTTAGACAGTAGGTTTTGGATAATCGACATCAGTAAATTGTCATTAAATGGCAGAATTAACTTCTTATAAAACATCCCCTAAGTGGTAACATGTGTCCGATGAATTTCCTTATGACGTCAACCTTTCCCATTCTTTGGTTGCTGACAATAGAAGGATCATCCTTCCTGCAAGATGTTTCAACTAAACGTTTGATCGTATCGGCCACGACATTTAAAAGTAGAATTTAAACCAAAACCCTTCATTTTTTCCTTGTGGACCTCAACCTTAGATACCACAAATTTGTCAAAATCTATCTAGGCATTTAGGAGGAGTAGTATTTTAAAGCAGAAAGTAGGAAAATAGGAAGATGAAAACAAGAAAACAAAGGATTGGTTTTATTTCGTTTGAACAACATAAATATAGAAATATAAAAGATTGTCCTCCATAAATTGTAAATGAATTAAAAAATATATAATGATCCATCAAACTCCTTTAGCTTGTAGACAACAAGATATGGATAACAAATGATTAAAAACATTGGACGGGAAATATCAGTGATAATGCACATGATCCTCGTATTATTGCTCACGGGTGTATACCAATAAAAAGTTAGTGTCAAATATCATATCTGTTTCCTGTAAAACAAGAAATTACAAGAACAACATTTAAACCTACTTCATACTAGAATATAAAAACACATACAGTCAACCCCTTTAATTTGTTTCTAAAATCAGAACTGATGTGGTATATATTTATGCACCTAGAAAAATTGGATGAATAAAACCATGTTGAGAGTCTACCTCGAGATTCTCGGGTCAACCAGAGCATATCCTTTGTTTCTATAAATGTGGCACTACTTAGTGAATAAGGGATATGAGGTTTTTAAATCGAATTCCAATAAACATCTTTAAATGTGAAATATTTTTTTCTTGCTTATTTTGTTTTGTTAAGTTAATAAAAGTGACAAAAACTAAGTTTTTGTCGATGTTCTACAGTTATTGTGATTTTTTAATACGTTCATTGTTTTATGGGTATTTTGACAGTGATATGGGTATGTACAACATATCGTTAGGGTATTCTTAACATTTTATTTTACTAGTGTAAACTTAATGTATTATGAATGATTTATGGACATTTTGGAACATTCTGAATATCTTCATTGATATTCTATTTTAGGTATTTTCGAAATATTTTGAAAGTTTAATGAGTAAAACATTAAGTACACATATATATCACTTGTTAAAAGCCCCTGTCCTGACCTCTGTGATTACTTCTGAACTCTTTTCACCAGATTGATTGCACTAGTGAGTCAGGACTAGACATTTGACATCATCATCACTGCCAATCACTGCCTGTATCAGGACTTCTCTAGATATTGATTAACTTTGTCCATTAGGCCAGCAACAAGTTCTGTACTCTCTACCCATTTACTCTTCTCAACACTTGTGTAAACTCTTAGCTTCTCCATGTTTTGTAGAACTCCTTTCAAAAATCTGGTCAAAAAAATAGAAATTGAATATTTTCATAATTTCATAAAAATAAAGTATTGTTTGAAAACTGAAATTAACTAATTTTGTGTTAATAAAATCCTTATAATTATATGTCTAAAGGTTTGAATTATAATTACCTAAAATGTACAACAGGGTCACTTTATGAGTTAATTACTGCGACATTAAATTTGATTTATTTTTTATTAAAACAAACTGGCCTATTACCTGACTCTGAGCTTGTTGTCCTGGCCTGCTGTCATGTCCAGGGTGTATAGTTGCCACAGGGCCACAAACACCACAAAATGTAGGCACATATGGAGACAGGGGCAGCTGACAAAAAAATGTACATCTGAATTAATATTCCCATTGGATTGCCATTTTTTCCACATATCTCAGCAATGCATAAAATAGTTTGAATATCACAAAAAATAAATACATTAACACGAACACTTCAGGTGATCTAGGCTAGATATAAGATATTCCACAAAAGATTATATGAAGTATTACCATTAGAGATCAAACAAGTGAGAACATCATAAATTTTACATAAGAATACCATAGAACTATTTCAGTGACATAACATATTTTTGGTAGTTCCATGCAATTTTCAGGGGTGGGTGTTAGCATAAATATTATGTTATTTATAGTTGGATCACAGGACATATAATTTCAGACTGATACCTGTTGATGAGTTTTTGCAGACTGTCTTCCTGTCTTGGCCGCAGTTTGCCCTTCCTCCACTGTATCTGTCGGTCACTTAGCACCTGCTCCATTTGAGTGACCACTGATGTACACTCCTCCAGAATCCTCTGTAACAGACCGACAAGTTCACTCTGTCTCCCACCCTCCACTGCGGTCTTGGTGTCATTCATAGATTGTGCTTTCCTGTTAATAATGGATTTGACTCCAACAGAGTTCAGTTTGGAGCTATCTAATTCTGTACTGGCTCTGTCTTTGTTGTGTGTGGCTCCTTCTGTGGTGGATGTGGTTCCTTCTGTGATGGGTGTGGCTCCAGTTTTGGTGGGCATAGATGTGGCTCTGTAAAACCTGTACAAGGTGCTTATTTTCTTGGTCAACATTTTAGACACAAATCTTTGACCATCCTCCATTGGCTGTAAGATCCTGGTAAAGCAAAACAAAGTATCATTAACACATTTATTCATGAAAAGAAATAACATAATTAACATGACAAATCAAGGAAACTATTAGAAATTTTATCTTTAAGTGGGAAAGGATTGTGATACCAGAGATTCAATACTGGATACAGGGAAATATACATCAAGCATCAAAAGTATCTCATTTATGCATAAAGAATAAAACGTACATGTACCTACCCTGTGATGACTTGTTCTCTAGTAACATTACAGTCTGACAATCTCTGACACACAGAATAAAGAATATACCGTACATGTACCTACCCTGTGATGGCTTTTTCTCTAGTAACACTACAGTCTGACCATCTCTGACACACAGAATAAAGAATATATACCGTACATGTACCTACCCTGTGATGACTTGTTCTCTAGTAACATTACGGTCTGACAATCTCTGACACACAGAATAAAGAATATACCGTACATGTACCTACCCTGTGATGACTTGTTCTCTAGTAACATTACAGTCTGACAATCTCTGACACACAGAATAAAGAATAAACCGTACATGTACCTACCCTGTGATGACTTGTTCTCTAGTAACATTACGGTCTGACAATCTCTGACACACAGAATAAAGAATAAACCATACATGTACCTACCCTGTGATGACTTGTTCTCTAGTAACATTACGGTCTGACAATCTCTGACACACAGAATAAAGAATATACCGTACATGTACCTACCCTGTGATGACTTGTTCTCTAGTAACACTGCAGTCTGACCATCTCTGACACACAGACTCTACTAGACTTTCCATCCCTGATGTCATGGTTACCAGGAGTGGGTGTTCCTCTCTACACAACTCTGTGTAATGGAATGTTGATCTGTAAATATGATCCGTATTATTCAGGTCACATTTTTTCTCATTCAAATCCTGTATCTTTATTTGGCAAAATGCATAAAAAGGGGTTGAAGAGAAATCACAAAACTAATTCAGTCCTGAGTTTCTGATAATAATTGTGAACAATTAAAAAGATTTCTGATAACTACTGTCGACCTTTTGGCTAACAATTGTGAATTGTCATCCAAAATACCACAGGTACGCCATTAGTTTACCTATTACAAAGTTGAACAAGGTAAACGGCAACTGAAATATATCCACAGAGAACTGAGTACCTGGGCTGGATGTATAGTGGATGTGATCATTAAGTGTGACCAGCTGTTCAGTGACACAAATGATCTGAAATATATCCACAGAGAACTGAGTACCTGGGCTGAAGATGGAATGTATAGTGGATGCGATCATTTAGTTTGGCCAGCTGTTCAGTGACACGAATGATCTGAAAAAACAAAAAGAAAACCTAATGGAGTTCTTTATTGTCTTCTAAATCCTTCATCACTGCAAAAATCTATATGCACACATATCATGACTTCGGACTTATTGGTTCTTTAGAGATTTTATCATCTTGCATGTAATTCCATTAACATGATTTTAATTTTGATTAGAGTTTTCCGTATATATAGTCATGTACAAGTGACTTGAGCAGAACTTTTAACTGTTGACTTGGCTTTAGTATAATATTTGATTACCTTTTGTTTGACTAAGGTCACAGGATGAAATAGAGACTGATAATCCTGCAGTGGTACAAAAGGCTTCGGCAGTGACATCTAAACAAATAGATACATGTACAAGGAATGTCGAAAAAAGAAAGAATTTAAATCAATTAAATAAAAAACAGAAACTGAAAATTTGTGACTATTTCAAAAACTGTGACATGTTGTTGTGTAAATGGCTACATACATACCCAGTACATCAGAATCAACTATTATAGCAATGTCAAGCAACAATTTCTTGCTTAACTGACTGAAATTCTTTTTTACAATAACTTGAAGTTACATGGGATGGAATCATTACTGGATTGAAAAAACTACATTGAATTTTGTTTTGTCCCACCTACTTACAGAATCTGATTTTTAGAATATCAATAACCACTTACATGACATCAAAGCAACTGTAAATACAAAATCAGAGCCGAACAATAACATACTTACCAGAGTAGCCTCCCTTCTTACTGTAACCATCAATGCTGTACCCAGAATGACTATAGCAAGTGTTTGAGGAAAGGAGCTTAGATTCACCTCCCCATGACCAAGTTTGTCTCTTACTCTGGGGCCTGCTGGGTACTCTAGGGCATCCAGTAACAGGTCCTGTTATACACATAATATAGAACCACTGATTGCAAGTGCAATGTTCTCTTTAACCAAGAGCAAGTTTTCAAAATCATAAATCTCTACCTCTACTCTGATAGAAATTGAGAATGACATTAAAACATGGTCTTAACAATGAAAAAGAAGTTAAGCACAGTCTAATTAAAACAATATACTGGCTCATCAATTTTACCCCTACTAACTTGTGTTAAAACAGAAAAAAATTGTATGCAATAATAATCTAATTTAATTTTAATTTAAAGTTTCTTGAGTAAACTACCCTGGTGACTCACTTGAGTTCAAATAAAAATAATTCAATTTAATTCAATATTTAATGAAATTATTAATATTGTGGTTTTCTGATTTTCATTGATTTTGTGGGAACTCTCAATTCTCCAATTCATATGTTCATAAACTGTTAAAATAAGTGTAAGCAGATTTATTGAGTTATATTCATCCATGAAATCAAATGTTAAAGAAATAAAATAATTTCTGAAAAACCACTAAAAATTGAGCCCAGCCAATATATGTGATTTTACAGAATACCGTCCCTTATTATCTGTATATAAAGATATATAAAGATTCACTTAATACTTACTTGTATACAGAACTATTTTTTCTGTATAATTCAAATGGAAATAAACTGCTGTGTCTACAATAGGTGGCTTAACCTCTGACCTCTTCATTACGTACCATACAATTCTCTCCTAACTGAGCTGCAACCTTGTTCTTAATGCCAGTAGGTAAACATGGGTCTAAAATCTAAAATGGACATAAACATCTCATCATCACAGAATATTCACATTAGTGCATAAAAGGGGTGTAAAACTAAAATGGACATTAGCATCTCATCATTATAAAGTATTCCTCAAACCCTTTGGTAGACAAGGGTATACAATCTGAAACATACATTAGCATCAAAAATAAGAAAACTCTATGCGCTTCAAAATCACTGATCTCTAATCTTTTCTTTAATGCAACATTTGTATACAGATTAAATAGTCAAATTTCAAATAGATACTTCTTTGGTGATTAACATTCAATGTCATATTGCAAAAAGGTGTCCAACTTCATATTTCAAATGCATATCTGCAGACAGAACTGGAATATCTTAATAGCCCAATGACAAAGGTCTTACTGCAATGTATGTGAACCTCCAACATAATCAACTAGACCCTGCAGCTCTATCAGATATCTTCAGGAGAGCGAGGACTATGAATAGGAATACCAACAAGGTGAGGGCAAATGGGTTCATCCTGAATTTGCCGTTACACAATTGACATTCAAAATGCTCAGGAATACTTACTTAAAGCAGTTCAATGGTCAAAATTTGCATCTGGTTATAAAAGGAGGTAACATCAGTGCATTTAACTTATTACTGACAGTACTCCTGAGCCATTAGCAGTTCATGGGTTGGTAACACACAACTGACTTTGGTAAGGTTTCACTGCTGCTTTGTCATAAAATAGTTAATGAATAGAAATGTTTTCTGCTTGATAGGTCTGTATTTCTAACTTCAGCACCACAACAATCCTACAGCACAGGAAATTATCATTTCAAGAACTCTCATCATGAGAGCCTACTGAAATGTATCAATACAGAAAGAAAAGTGATTTAACCTACCTAAAACACAGAGATCAAACTGTTACCTACCTAAAACACGGAGATCAAACTATTACCTACCTAAAACACGGAGATCAAACTGTCACCTACCTAAAACACAGAGATCAAACTGTTACCTACCTAAAACACGGAGATCAAACTGTCACCTACCTAAAACACGGAGATCAAACTGTTACCTACCTAAAACACGGAGATCAAACTTTTCGCTACCTAAAACACGGAGATCAAACTGTTACCTACCTAAAACACGGAGATCAAACTGTTACCTACCTAAAACACGGAGATCAAACTGTTACCTACCTAAAACACGGAGATCAAACTGTTACCTACCTAAAACACGGAGATCAAACTGTTACCTACCTAAAACACGGAGATCAAACTGTTACCTACCTAAAACACGGAGATCAAACTGTTACCTACCTAAAACACGGAGATCAAACTGTTACCTACCTAAAACACAGAGATCAAACTGTTACCTACCTAAAACACGGAGATCAAACTGTTACCTACCTAAAACACGGAGATCAAACTGTTACCTACCTAAAACACGGAGATCAAACTGTTACCTACCTAAAACACGGAGATCAAACTGTTACCTACCTAAAACACGGAGATCAAACTGTTACCTACCTAAAACACGGAGATCAAACTGTTACCTACCTAAAACACGGAGATCAAACTGTTACCTACCTAAAACACAGAGAATAAACTGTTACCTACCTAAAACACGGAGATCAAACTGTTACCTACCTAAAACACGGAGATCAAACTGTTACCTACCTAAAACACGGAGATCAAACTGTTACCTACCTAAAACACAGAGATTAAACTGTTACCTACCTAAAACACAGAGATCAAACTGTTACCTACCTAAAACACAGAGATTAAACTGTTACCTACCTAAAACACGGAGATCAAACTGTTACCTACCTAAAACACGGAGATCAAACTGTTACCTACCTAAAACACGGAGATCAAACTGTTACCTACCTAAAACACAGAGATCAAACTGTTACCTACCTAAAACACGGAGATCAAACTGTTACCTACCTAAAACACGGAGATCAAACTGTTACCTACCTAAAACACGGAGATCAAACTGTTACCTACCTAAAACACGGAGATCAAACTGTTACCTACCTAAAACACGGAGATCAAACTGTTACCTACCTAAAACACGGAGATCAAACTGTTACCTACCTAAAACACAGAGATCAAACTGTTACCTACCTAAAACACAGAGAATAAACTGTTACCTACCTAAAACACAGAGAATAAACTGTTACCTATTTAAACCACAGCAATTAAACTGTTACACAACAAAGTATTACTCACCTCATCAAATGTTGTGTACAGTGTTGAGGCCTACAACAAGGGTAGAAATAGTCACAATCATTATATATATACCACTTACATGACAATTCCATACATTGTAGTGATATCCTTCATACTTCCTATTAAAAACCTTACCATTATTATTTCCTGAACAAAGGCAATGCCTTACGTAATATCATTAACTTCTTTAATTTTACTGCACCTTTCATTATCATCCTTCAATCAATTAGAATAATTTGTCGGTTATGCCCCCTGAATGATATACTAGGTGGCGCTCTAGTTGTTACGGTCCATGTTTTGTTCCGGTGAAGAGTGGAGATACTATATCTAGACCTGTCAATATGCATGGTTTCCTCCAATTGTATCTAGTATCAGATAACTGTACACTTGTAGGATCTAATAGTTTCCTGACACAAACTATTGTTTAGCTGATATTTCAATATTTTAAACAAAATATAATGTATATCTTCTGTGAATGTAGTTCACACTTTGATACTTAAAACAAATTGATAGTAACATACCTCAGCCGTAAGTACCCGCTCCGGACAATTGTTGATCTCAGAAAACAGAACCCTCATGGCATGCTCCAGTTGTGGAAGTATTAACACAGCAAAGTAACCATACCTTAAAGTAAATCAGATGTTTTAATATTTATCACCTGTTGGAACTTTGTATCCTTATATTGTGGGAACACATTTCAAAACTGACAAGAGCTAGGAGAATAACTTAATGCACACCTTTTCCAAAATATTACAGTAGATTCATCAGAAATATTCTACTTCCCCTCAGGGAGTGTAGACTTTCTATAGTCTGTTAAGAGAGGAAAAAAATTGTTTCTACTTTTCTATCATACATACTTTCCTTTGTAGAACCAGTTAAGAGCAGCAACCCACACAGGCAGCGAAGGTCTGGCGATGATTGGCGAAGTTTCAAATAACTGTAATAGCTCTGATAATGCTGGTGTTTTGAATTCTGTAAAATACAGAAGGTGTTATTTAATTCAAATTAATGTCTTTTTAAGATTTTAACCACTAAGTTCAGTACAGATCCCAAAAGGATACAAACATTTAATATATTTATGTTGATTTAAACATATGTGTATGAATGACTTTACCTGTGAACTGTGGATGATACATGGCTGACTGAGAAAAGTCTGTGTATGGTCTGTGTTTAATGTCATTGTTTTCCCTCAGAAGATATCCTAAACTTGGCACCAGCAATAGTAGAAACCAAGTGTACCTGAAAGTGATTGATGATTAAGTACAGGTATCTCACCCTATATATTGAAAACAATTTGGCCTAACAAGTACTAAGGAGAGGAGAGTATCACAAATCACTGGTTTCCTTATATGTTAAATTCAGTTAAGGGAACGGGGAAGTAGGTGGGCACATTTATCAAAATCCACTGGATCAGTTTGGGTGATTTTACTGATTCAAGACATACAACACAACAAATGTAACCAATATTTGATTTTAAAATATATTTACAGGTTGAGTAAACTGGAAGTGTTACTGATTGCATTACCTTTGGGGTATTTCTCCAGGGGTGGGAAAGCCATGCCATGCCACATTTCGTAGGTTCAGAGATGTTGGAGGCCCCAATATTACACGTAATGTTTCCACCTACAACATAGTACCATGTAAGGCAATGAGATATTATATATGTGTAAGTACCATATAAGGTGGTGAGCTAATATATATCTGTACGTACCCTTTAAGGTAGTGGGAAATTATCATAAAGATCATTCTGAGAGGATTTCAAAGATTCAAATAAAACTAAGACTTAAATAAGGTTTCCTATAGTTACATAACTTTGTAATACACATATGTAATGTTTTGAGAATAAGGACAATCTACAGTCCCCTATAGACTAGCAAACTTTGGTGACCAACTCTACATTTACTTAAAGGCTGACAAACTTTGGTGGCCAACTCTACATTTACTTAAAGGCTGACACACACTTTTTACTTAAAGGCTGACAAACTTTGGTGGCCAACTCTACATTTACACACTTTTGTGGCCAAAGGCTGACAAACTTTGGTGGCCAACTCTACATTTACTTAAAGGCTGACACACTTTTGTGGCCAACTCTACATTTACTTAAAAGCTGACAAACTTTGGTGGCCAACTCTACATTTCCTTAAAGGCTGACAAACTTTGGTGGCCTACTCTACATTTGCTTAAAGGCTGACAAACTTTGGTGGCCAACTCTACATTTCCTTAAAGGCTGACACACTTTTGTGGCCAACTCTACATTTACTTAAAGGCTGACAAACTTTGGTGGCCAACTCTACATTTACTTAAAGGCTGACACACTTTTGTGGCCAACTCTACATTTACTTAAAGGCTGACAAACTTTGGTGGCCAACTCTACATTTCCTTAAAGGCTGACAAACTTTAGAAGTCAACTTTAAAGAGGCAGGTGCCTCAATCTGAAACAATTTGAAACTCACTCACACAAATTGGATATTTTTGGTGACCATGTCTAAAAGTTATATACCCTGGACAAAACAGAGCACAGTGAAAAAATGGCCATCACAAAGTACATACAAGTATTGAGGTAAGGAACTTAATTTCAGCACATGTCATCTACAATGTACAAAATGTATGTGTAGAAATTGAAGGACAACTTACTACAGCTGATCCAAATATTTGTGTGAGTTGTGAAGTTAGTAGTAGATCCTTCAGCATTGATGGACACTGAGATCCTTTTGTTAGGTACACCTAGGACATAGACCAACCATTAATATTGCTAGAATAAAGAGACATGCCCGGCACACACAGATACATTGATACATATACATGTCATAGAAAAACATAATTACCACATCATAGAAGTAGATTGTATAGACAATTCACCTATGTGAACAAATGATGAAGAAAAACTGACATTAGAATGATTTGTAACCATACTGTCAATAATACACATGAGGGGAGCATTATAACTATCCTTTAGCAGTCAATGTTAACACTTGATACCAGATAACTATCAATATTTCAGTTTGGTGAATTGCCAATAACATATCTCAGCAAGATTTCAATTATACTGACTACACATAAGTTTTTGACAATAAAGTGTTGGTTAAGTATCAAACTCAATGTATTTTTTTCAGTGAATGGACCTTACATCTCCAAGAGATCGTTCTAACACAGAAGTCACAATCAGCATCACCAACATATGGTCCACATCTAACCTGTCCTTGGGGGAATGAAGCAAATCAAAACACTCTGCCAGCAACTAGAAATACAATTTAGTGACATGTATATTGGTACTGGAAATATAACCATAGTTCTAAACATATGAAAGTCAATATGCAAATAACAAGAATGATTCAAAAACATTACAATACAATAGGTTAAATTTAAGCTATGAAATCAGTACTAAGAAACAAATGCACACAATTGTTATCTAAACACCTTTTTATCATAATTTCCTTATCATTTTCAAATTATGGATGTTCTACATTTTTACAGTGCAGAAGTAGGACTCACATAACATAATTTACACATGATCATGAATTCCTAACTGAATATACTTTTAATATATTCTGTTGAAACATTCGGGACATGTATTGGAAACCACAGATTAACATAAGTTCCTGAAAATTAAGATATTTCAATTCTGACAGAGAAATAATATAATTTTATGCGATCAAGAATTGTACGCCTTAATTTAACCTCTGGCATGCCTGTCCATGATGTAAAGGGAGATAACTGGCGATCATAGTCTGCAACAGTCAGTTTGGAAATGTAGTCCTCAGATTGGAGAAACAATGGAGCAAGACATCCAATACATCTCTCAAAGTACAGTTTGTCATCAGAGAAATCTGATGGATCTGAAAATCAGGCAAAAAAGAAATTGAAACCAATATTACGTATAAAGGAAGCTAGAAAACTAATTGATCTGTACTTACATATATATCATATTTCTTCATGAAAATATCTGTATGAGAAGTTTCTATTTAAAACTTCTTTTTCTATTTAATTATTCTTTCATGATAAACTTTAGTATTTCTCATTGCTAAAGTGTGCTTGACATTTCTCTAACTTGGCTTTATAGACGCCACATTTTGTCACTTAACTAGGCTCATCAAGATGTTAAAATAATGCTTTTGTTAAAATGACATACAGTATGGACTGGAAAAGAATCACATTAATAATGACCAATAATCACTGACTGACCTGGAAGTGTGACCCTTACAACATTCCAGTCTACCAGACCATCACCTGTGAGAAAACTTAGTGCATCTGTTTGGCGACAGATACCTATGTTGTTAATGAGATGGAACACTCTTGGAGACAAGGCAGACATGTCTAGCTGTTAGAATTACTTCCCTTTAACTTCTCTGATCACTTTTCAAAGTGGTTTTCCTGAAATCAAATGATTATCTGTCTTTAATGTTTATTTCAATGACCAACAACATGTTTATGATCATAAATATATTTCCAATATCATTTACTGATTTTAATACAGACAATTGCTGAGTATGTACAATGACAAAGGCTAACTTTGATTTTAAAACCATTTTTATGTATCAATAAATTGTTTTTAAACTTTAACTGCAAATTTATTAATTTTTTTTTATAACAGTTAGCGACCTTGACAATAAAAGAAAATATGAAATTAAACTACAAACGTATATAGATGTAGGCATATATGACTGTAGAGAGCAGGAGATATTAACATACATGTATTTATGAGTTGAAGATCTTTTGAAAAACAGGGCATGAAGATTTGGAGTTTATTTTGTGGATTAATCATTATTGAGGTGCACAAGTCCAACTCATCCTATCTAATTATGTAACTTATCAAAACGTAGAAGCTAAGTATCATGAAAACAAGCAAATCAGTCACCCATTTAACAGAATAAAACAATACCAGATATTAATGATTATTGTTATGACAAGCTAATCTGTAGGAAGTATCTCTATTCCAATACATTTAATGTATAATGCACAAAATATGAGTTTTAAATTGAACTGGATACAGACACGGTATCATTGATATATATACTACCAAACACACATTCCTCTGGTATTGGTTTAACTTCATTCAGATGAATTGTCTTCATTTTAATTTTGCAGACTGAAGGGTCGCTAGTTCGAACCCCAGTGTTGGCAAGGTGTTTTTCACACTTCCCATAACATTATCACAGTATCTATATTCAAAACAAAATTTGTGGGTCTATTACATCATAAATTTGACCGGCACATTATTTGTTCAATAGATTTAAACTAAAAAGGGAACTACGGTCATTTCATACCTAGCAGGATAGCTCATTCGGCTTACATGTACAGTAAATTACTTCATTTCCAATGGGGGTAATTTTGAAACCACGGAAAACATCGCCATCTACTTATCAATTGGTTAACTTCAACACCGTCATATGATTATACAGTCGAGTCAAAAATTTTAATTGGGCGAATACAATTACTATGTACTACATTTACATGTACAAACTATACATTTTGTAAAGAGGTCGATAGTCTTACATTAGACGATCAGCTTCCATGTGAACTGTGTTGGTGGTATGTCAGTACGTCGTAACGGTAACCATTATACATTCTTACAAACACATCTCGATTGGAGAGCTAAAACATCAGACCATAACTTGTTTACGGAAGTCAACCGATGCATGTAATTACCGAATAGGGAATTTCCGGAATAAGGCCGCGGCAAAAGTAAGGAAGGTTTTTTTTTTATTTCAGTAACTTAACATGCTAAACGTCACAAAAACAGGACAGTCCTCACGGGAAAATGTATTTACATTCAATCCAATCCATTTTAATATGCAGGTCATATTTACACGTTTTATATCTGTTGCGACGAAATGCGGAACTTTCACTTTACAAATATTCGTTTAGATATGTTGTTTAAAACTTAGCTATATCAATGAGTGGACACATCAGCATATATACAGACCAGTCATTTGCTAAATACGGAACAGCTGGTATACCTGTAAATTAGGGATACTGAGAAACTGGACTTAGTTTTGCGTTTAACTTTGTTACTTTTTATGTTTAAACACAAAGTTTAAGTAATATGCCGTCCCTACCAATTCTTATAATCAATGTTTCTTGAGAATTTCTAGGTCTGGATGGATCATATTCAAGCCTCATATGTACGTTCCTAGATGTGTATACCATTGTGGTTTTTAGGAATGATAGGAAAGACAGCCACTTTGACAAAATATCACTATTGGTTGAGAAATTCCGGAAATGTCTTCTGTGGTTTACTGTTGAAATTGGTAGTATTTGTACTTATTTCATTAACTAGTGAGGAAAAAATAATGGCCGACAGGTGGCCATTTTGGATTTTACGAGATACAAGATTGGTATCAGTGGTTTAATTCTGGGAAATTGTTACTCGACCTCACATCCCTCTAGACATGTCGTTTGAAGAAACTACATGGATATAATTTACCACATTTCAGTCAGTAACTTTCCGAAAGACAAACAAATTCATTGATCTTTAACAACAGTACATTAGCGATATCGTTACATTTCTGGGTGCAGCAATGCATGCCGATCAGAAGAGGGGAGGATATTGCGGAGTCATCACGGTGTCGTATTAACCCACATCCAGGTCATGGAATACCTTGTCCATCAGGAAGCGATTAACAATTATAAATGTAAACAGGTAGTAAGACACCTGTTTGTCCAGAAATGAAGTCTGTAGGAGTGTCCAAAGTTTTGATCTGGTAAAGACTGCCGGATCTGGAGCGTACACATTGTGTCGTCAGGTTTGTTAATGAGGTAACCAATGCTATCACATTGCAACGTATAGCGACATATACCAAGACAGAATCACCAATTAGAGATAAGAAAATCATTTCTCGATTGTTACGGACCCCTCGCCACCACTGGGCTTACGTCTGAATGTGAAATTCACTGTTAGAAAAAGTTGAGCATATGCGCGAGGTTTTTCTTACATTAGCGTGTTAGCAAGCTGTTCCTGTTTCCTTATTTGTATACAACATTATCACATTTGGCAACGTTGTGCTGTTTTTTTCGTGATTTGACCATAACGCTGTCCTAATTCAATTTACTTTGAGTACCTTATTTAAAGTTGAGTGCGGTGTTGTCTCTTCTTTGCTTCAAGATTGTCCAACTCTTCAGTGTGTGTCTCTTGTTTTACTTGATTATAGGGATTCACAGAGCCATTCTGCTATAGCGTTGTCCAAATTCAGCATGATCTGGACTCGAGAATGCCAACTGTTTAACTTATACGCGAGGTTTTATTATTTTGATCAAGATTGTTTCCAAATATTAAGGTTAAGAGCAAAGTTGTCCAAGCTTAATAGCTCTTAGGAACAAAACTATCCCTAATTTTAACTGAGCGCGTTTTCGTTTTAGTTTGAGTTAGTTGTAAGCAGTTATTAGGTAAATTTGAGAGCAAAGTTACTCTGAAGGATAGTAACGTTTCTTAAATTTCTGTTGGTACTTACTATTGGTTCATACAGTAGCTTGATATAACCGTCAGATTATCATAATTATCTTTCATATTATTCAATGATGATTTGATTCAGTTTAAATGGTATATCGGGATTCGAACCAATGACCTTTGTCCTAGTACCAGGTCACAAGCATAGAAACCATACAAGGTTCTTTGTCATCTTCCAAGACGGTAGTTTAATTTTAAATGTCGTGAGTATGTTTCGAACCCGGAACTTTCTGCTCTAGAGTGAAACTCCTATGAACGTATTTCAATTAGTATGATATGTATCGGGACAAGATATCAAATGGCAGACCAGGGCACTCTGATGATAATACTGAAGTCTGGTACAAAGTGTTGTGATTCAGCTTGTCAAGTTGTCAATGGACAATGGCGTTGGAATGATACAGATACAATCACTTTCATTTATTATTTTGATTATATTTTTTTCTCACCAATTCATATTCTGTGTATATCTTCTATGTAATTTGGAGTAAAACTTCGTTCTCATACGTGTATATCAGTATATCATACACGTACGTACATGGAACAAGCATGGTTCAGCAAGGATTCTGTTATTGATCATATGTCCATGACATATACAATTTTACAGCGTCTTTAAACTGATGGTCACGCTATTGAATGTTCTGAGAAAACAAGCCCGCAGGCAGATTGTCCAAGAAAGAGTAGTCATGGTTACAGTATTATCGACATTTCATGTTCTTCCGCACAGTTTTTAATAAATTTTAATTAAGCCTAGCTGTAGCGGGTCTTGTGTGCATTCACCGTCGGTTACTGTAAATGGCCCTTGAGCTGATTCCCAACCAGCTACATTCTCTTCAGATGTACGAATGCAAAGGGTACATTTTTAATGGAGGACAACTTAATGTAAATTTCATGTAAAGTAAAGCAAACGAGCGAAGAGGCCTTACATAATACACTGACGTGGGTACTTATCTACGTATAAAGTATTTATAGAAGATGTGGGGGTCAGAAAACAGGAACTACCAGCGGCAGGAAACAGCAGTCTGCATGTCAACCTCCTCTGTATCTATTTAATCATATCCTTGACCCAAGGCTTCCGTTTCTTCAACAATTTGTAGTTACCGGAGTCGAGATAGCAGCAAACCTTGAAAAATCAGAAGAAACCTTTCATTATCACTGATATCTCAAGACGACCAAACGTATCTTACAAATCAATAATGGTTATACCAACTCAAATGTCTGTCTTATTCGTGAGACGAGAAGGCTGAAATAAAAAAAATCACGGTTATGTTATCTTTGCCATATCCTGTTTACAACATTCACACAACCGTCACTAGGGGACAGGATCGCTGTGGTGTTTCACGGTAGGGTCATCATTACTAATCAAATGGTAAGAGATAGATTTTGGAAGCCGTCATATTTTGTGACACTTTCATAAACATATTGTCATATACTACACAAGACAGAATTTATTAAGCGACCCTAAATAGTCACATTTTGTGACACTTTACATACTGAACTAGGAATACGCTTTACTGACTATATCGTCATTTAATTACATGGTCATATTGTTTTATACTTTACTGACTTTATCGTCACATTGTGTGACATTTTACCGACTCAACTTCAGTTTACACGACACTTTACTGACTTTATCGTAACGTCATGTGATATATTTCTGAATGTATCGTCACGTTACACGACACTTTACTGACTATATCGTCACATTGTGTGAGATTTTACTGACTCAACGTCACGTTACACGACACTTTACTGACTTTATCGTCACGTTGTGTGACATTTTACGTTTACACGACACTTTACTGACTTTATCGTAACGTTGTGTATATTTCTATGTATCGTCACGTTACACGACACTTTACTGACTATATCGTCACATTGTGTGAGATTTTACTGACTCAACGTCACGTTACACGACACTTTACTGACTTTATCGTCACGTTGTGTGACTATTACTGACTTAATCGTCACGTTGTGTAACTATTACTGACTTTATCGTCACGTTGTGTGACTATTACCGACTTAATCGTCACGTTGTGTGATATTTTCCTGACTTAATCGTCACGTTGTGTGATATTTTCCTGACTTAATCGTCACGTTGTGTGACTATTACTGACTTTATCGTCACGTTGTGTGACTATCACTGACTATAACCTCTAGATTTACCACACTTCACTGACTATATAGTTGCATTGTGCGACGCGTTATTGAATAACCACGTATCTAAAACGGCTCTTTGCGATCTTCCCAAATCAATGCAAAATAATTCAGATTATGCCATTTTCGAATATCGCATCAGTAAGAATGTATTTCTTATCTTTTATTACAAGCGAGAAATGAAATATCTGCATTTGAGAGATATGTCTTTATAACGGAAGCGAACGTAGGATTTCGTCATGCCAAGAAAAAGACAAGATAACAGCTGTAGGTGAAATAAGTCAGACGGTGACAGCTATCACGCCTGTTGTCAGTGTGGATTGCAGAGTTATTGCCCTTTTTTGTCCGGAGCATAACTCGACTTTCATTTAAACTATGATAATGAAACTTGGTGTATAAATTAGTTATACTAAGAGGACGTAAACGTTTCTTATGCCAGGGCTTGCAATCAATTAATCATAGAGTTATTGCCCTTTGTTAAAATCTTGTGTCCAAGATTTCTGGTGGAGCGCTCATCAGTTTCATCAATTCTCTTGATTTCCTTGTTTTAGAGATGAAAAAAAGCGAATGAAAATGTAAGTTTCAAAACGGATTAAATCACAGGAATTTAGATGTAACATATCAGAAAGCTCTTAACAGAACTTACTATCCTAAAGATAGAAATGAATATCATTGTTGAATACGAATTGAGTTTCAGAAACGGTGGAAGCCGAGCAACGATTTAAATTGTACCATAAAAGCTGCGTTTAACCAGACTATGGCAAGTTATATACTAAACATACAGCTTCAATCCCATATTTCCCCGACCAGTACTGGGTCAACTAACTTTCAAAGCGGCTGGGATTGCAAGTCGTTTAGAACGTATCTATGTTTTTGTTTTTTCATCATTGCTTTTAGGGAGGGTGTTGCTAACACACTTCCCCAATTACAAATATTCTTGCTAAAGACCATTCCAAGATAGCTAAAATTTCATATTTATAAAGTTTACCGCTGGTTCTCCATTCCGTGTGACTAGTAAAACCGTTTCAAATGACATTGTAAAGGATAACATTCATTTGATCGTTGGTTATCCAGTTAAACTTGGAGAAGCCATTTTTCTGACATTTAACACTAAGGAAAAGTCATTTCCATACGCTATATAATTTGACAAGCAATCCTTCAATAACATAGAGGTATCTGACTTCAAGTACATTTGTACCAATATTATATGGATTGAACTCACAACTTTCTCGTTTATTCGAATATCGGATTTGTTTTAGAAGAAATGATTGGAATTAACAGTTTAAAAGCTTGTGGTCTCTTGTCTTTTAATGACATTTACATAGACATCGATCGAGAACTGTTCGACGTTCCTTACACGAAGTCGGATAAATGTGTCATCAATGACACGAATTGTACGGGAAAGTATTTTCCTTCAACCAATCCTGGAGTGTTAAAAAACTAAAAACATACAACATGCAGGTAATGTAGAATCATGTGACATGTGACACTTACCCCAGATGGACAATGTCCTTATCAAAACCACACTGTTGGACTGCTTACATGGCGAATACAACACTTCAGGTTTCTGGTCATAGGGCCGATTGCAGTGTTGAGCAACACCTATGAAATAACAGCAATTTTGTTTTCGTATGAGCTGCCAGAATCGAAGCTCTGTTTTGAAAAAAAACGGTATCCAATTTCTGTGGAAAGGTTCGCATACGGAACACAACAAATGGAAAATATAGGTGACGACACTGGCTTTCTTAGTCCAGATGGATTTGTGCGAGCTCCTATTCGTTGAGCGCTCGAGAACTAGTTCGCCCAAAAATGGCGTGGCTCATACAGACTAGTTGAACTGTTCTTTTTTTATGTAAGCCAGGATCTTTACAACGAAACTGTATGTAAAGAAACATGAATTGTTTGTGGTGCTAATTGAACAAGGCTTTAACCGTCAACCAGACGTTGTGCCTATACCTCGCCAGTATTCAGTTGTCCTATTTTGGGAGGTGTTTCTCAACCCTTGTCCTATTACTTTAAGTTTGAATATCTGAGAGTCCATGTTAAACTCATACGTAAGTTTGATGTTTATATGTTAAATATGGAAAGGTTTACATATCTTTCTATTTGTTCAAATTTTTACCATTAAACGAACACAGAACTTAACTATAAAATACTTCAATAATTTGACACTGTGTCATGTCATATTATCTATAGAAATCGTTTTTTTTTCGGAGTTTCTCACTCTGTTTGAAAGAATATTGCATAGTATGAGAATACACCTATTATTAATCTTTTACCACTAAACTGTTCCCCTTTCCAGATAGCAACATTCCTACTTATTTCCATGTCACATGCTATGCTGGCTACACTGATGTTTATGATTCCTATATTGATGCTGACTGGAAAAGTCCAAGATTTCAAAAAGTAAGTTTGATGGAGGAAATGTTGATTACTGGTTGACATTAGGAACTTCTTGGAGTGAATCTCTTGTTGCCATGTATAAACTTTATTGGATATATATAAATAAACACATTATACTGTTTACTTGTACCTTGTTGTTCTAATCTCTTTCGTCATAGTTCTCACTGTCTGAACATTCAGTGACAATTGTTTCTAAGAAACAGAGTTGGATATCTCTCATAAGCTTCTTCTCTGTAACACCTCTTTCTTATTTGTATGTATTTTTGAAGGCTTGTCTTTTTGTCTTTTAAATTTACATATATATTTTCAACTCAGTCTGAGTGTATTTTAGGGTGTTACTTTCTGGTGTGCATCTTTTTTAACTTTATTGTGTATCATTCTTTTTTGTTTTTGTTTTTTCATTTTTTTATTACTTGTTTGTTTGTTACTTTTAACTTTTGGATGTCACTTCTAACTTTTTCAAATATCACTTTCAAAATTTTGTTAATGTCACTTATACACTTTCATATGTCACTACTTTTCCGTATGTCACCTAACTTTTTCGTATGTCTTGTTCTAACAGTTTTTATGATAATTTATGATAATTTTAACTTCTTACATATGCTGCAAATGTACATATTCTCTCTGAAAGTAATGATTAGAAATATAGTTGTGTTATATACACTTCTGTATAGGATGTTATAGAGCATTTATTACTGATGTAATAAATCATCATTGGTTAATTTACTGAAATGTAATAATGTGTTAAAATTTTATTATAGTACCATATTTCACTTATAACTTTTTCATTGTCACTTCTAAGTTTAGTGTATGCCACTTCTAATCTATGTCGCTATAAACTTTTATGAAGAAATATTTTCATCTGTTGGCCAAAGGTTTTGTTTCCAGCATTATTCTGATTGCATTGTACACTATTGTAATATGTAAGAGTTTACCAATCCTATTGTTAATGAGATATTGTGTATGACTGTTGTTTCTGTTGAATTTTTCATTGTTTAATTCTTTCCAACAGCAGAACTGTGACTGGGTTGATTTAAATCAGTGGTTGACTATGGCTACCTACCATTTTATCAGAAATTTTCACCAAACATTAACGAGTCTGTTGTGTTACAAACACCAGCACAGACCCCTCTACAGGTACATACACCAAAGACAAAGTCAAGCAACATGTTATTTTAAATGATACTTTTTTATATGCAGACTATTCATAAATATTATATACAACAATGAAACATGAAAAATGCCTCCAAACTGTTTCAAACAGCATAACATATACCTCATATACAAAACATGGTACACTTACTTACCTGCAATTGTTTTATCAATAAATATTCTAATTCTCTTAATTATAAAATTAAAAATCAAAATCTGGATTGGAAATACCCTTTGCCATAATATCAATCTGATGAATCAAAAATAGAAAATCTGGACAATTGGGCCAAATTGTTCAATACATTGTAAGCTTTTCAAGATACACTAATATTTCAAGTATAGAATTTTTTTCACAAAATGCAGTTTATAAAATTTCTTACCAAAATGAATATACAACATGTATATTTAATTTCTGAACAATAATCTGATGTAGCAAATTATTATATTTTTTGAGAGTTTGTTTTAAACGTCCTTCATGAAATAAGTGTGTACTGTAAAGCTGACTTAGTTTGAACCTTTGGACTCTGTAGATTACAAATGGTATTGATATTGCTTTAATTTTCAAGTTCACATCTAAAAAGTGATATTTGGTTGGAAATATAAATGCAAAAATGTAAGCCTTCTTTAAAAGCAGCACCATTTCACAGTTGATTTGCAACTTAGATATGTAGGAGAATACACTATGAATTTTAGTTGTTTACAAAAGAACAGAACGTTGATATATATAAACCTATATATGCAACAGGTCTGATAATATTAATGATGTACAAAAATGAAATTCAAACAAATTCTGCATGGCACAAATATCTGTTTTCTTTTAAAATGTTTGCAGAATGTACATTAACAGTGAAATGACCTGTCCTCTAGGATGTCACAACTAGCACTATGGGTATACTTGTAGCTTTCACATCAGAAATACTGACAGAATAGAATGATGAACTAGAAATGAACCACTATACACACTGACTGACTGAAAAAGTATTCAATTTGCTGTCAGTTCAGATCTGCTGATGAGTATGACAAGTTAAAGGTTAACATGCAATGCTAGACCTGGGATGTGGTCTTGGTCATGGATGAGAAACTGAAAGTGGGGTCAGAGGTCAAGGTCACGCCAAAATTACCACGTTAATGACCTGACATTAAGCACACATAAGTTTTAGGTACACAATGTCTAGGTTTCATAAGTATCACTCTCTCGAAAGAGATAACCATATCTTGTTTTAATAGATACACGCATAGTTTAACAATTTTATTTTATTTTAGAAAAGGAGTAGTCCTGTGATAAATCAGTATCAATTGACAGTTAAAACATTTTGAAGAATCAACGGCAAATCTGTAGGAAATCATTATAAGGTGTACTGCATGATTTGGAAGCTGTCGCCCAACGCCCAATTTGATGTAATGAGATGAATACATACCTAGAAATCTTCTATCAGTAGTAATGATGCTGAATGCAGTAAAGCACCAACAGTCTATCCAATATTGTAATGGATATGTTGATTTGTACAATGAAGTAATGACTAATGCTCCAGATTAATGCTACAAGGGTATTTCATGCTACATCATCCTTTGTGGTCCTGGAGACCAACAATCCTTTTGTTACAACAACTATAACTCAAATCCTCTCCTATATGTAGGTAATCTATGCCATGTGACTTTTTGTCCTCCACAGAGAAAAACCTGTCTCATTTCTCTTGATAATACCAGTCATTTAATCTATCCTGCTTCTATAAGACAGAACATCCATCTAAATTGTCTCCTTACCTTTGAACATATACCAGCATATTCAAACTGAAGAGTTTTCAACCTAATAATTACAAAGAAATTGAATTGAAATATTGAAATGTATTAGAAAGAGAGAATTTTAAAAATTAAATGGAATCTCAGCCTTTTATTTTGCCTTGCAATCTTGAGTGTCCCAACACTTTTCAGTAGACATAGGGGATACTGACTCTATCTCTATCCTAGATATATTTAATGATTTGCTACCTTTGCATTAAACCTACAAGGAAGCCTGACCCAGGTTGCACAGTCTTTTGTTTTACATACCAAACTCAACCTTAAAGGTCACCCTAATCTTCATACAGTGAAATGTGACAAAATGCCTTCCTGACCTACAAACAGAAAAAAATTATCACAGTCTTTCTGTCTTACATCAGACACCCAAATCCCTTACCTACATACAGAGAAACATGACAAAATGCCTCCCTGACCTACATATGGAGAAATATGACAAAAGGTCTCCTTGTTATACATAAAGAAGAATATTACCAATTCCAGAGAGATATGTCCTTGACCTACATACAGGGAAACATGATGACATCTCACACAAGGAATCTAGACCTGCTTAATAAACAGTACATAGCAAGTGTCATAAGTTTGAGGTTCAATATAACAAGAAGTATGTATGAAATGTCTTCAAATCTAGTTTTAAAATGTGATTACACTATGCTGACTCAACAGAATAGATTTTCAATGAAAAAAAAAATTACACATAAAAAGATAATAGGACAGTGTAACTTAGATCTGGACCTAGATGTAGAGGTCTGTATGAGGCAAATTACAACACAAGTTGTATGTGTAAGTGTTTGTAGTTTCTTATTGAAATATTAGGTTAAAGGGGTATGTTAGGTCTGGATCCTATAGGGCTGTATACATACAGGAATTATATTAGCATGACTTATATATTGGATGAATATGAAACGTTTTTAAACACAGATCATACAAATCAGGACATGTTTTTCAAATTGTAATAAAGCTAAAACAAACTCTGGTGATACAAAAATGATGAAAACTGAACAGTTGAATAAAGTTGTGCATGGGAATGTCCTTAGTATTACATAACTGACATACCCACCATCCTGGTGTACATAAAACAATTGTAATGGACTAACAAAACCCAAACACTGGTTATAAAATTCCTGTTATACTCATCCCCTACCTCATTCTGTACTACTGTGTGTAGTATATGGACCTAAACTTTCCTAGTTCTGATGTATTAACCATATAACTATAATATCAATTGATCACTGGTATCACAAACTGATATAGGTTATATAATACGTTGTTTTAATATGTTTCAGTACTTGTACATAGAATGTTATAAACAGGCCATAAAATAAATACAGACCAGCATTCTATAGACATAACCAGTGAACCTTGACGTCCACTAGAAACATTTGATTGTACAATGGTACTACACTGATGTCCAGGTGTGATCAGAAACATTAGCTTGGTACATGGAAATGTTTACAAGTAAAACAATATTGAACTGATTGACTACTTGTAACTTCACCTAACACTAAGTCTACTTCAGAGTCTTATAGATGTAAAGTTAGCTTCAATCTTTTTGTGCATCAAACACTTATTAGTACAGGAAATAGGAACTGCATGCCGTCCACATGCAGTCACATGATGGCTGAAACATTACACATATTTTATTTACAGAATGATTTCAATTTCAAGGTATGCAACCATTCTTTAGCATAGTTTAAATCTAAGCTATAAACAGACAAACTGTATACACATATTGTAATAAAAAGTTTGTAGCATTGTGTAAAACAAAAATGTTACAAGGGTGGATAACTCTGTCTTCCAAAATGTACATCATAAATCACAGATCAATACTAGAGCTACTGCCACATCCAGTTTGATCACTGTAGCTGATGAGGAGATGATCACACCCTCTAATGTATGGTTAACTATGGTGGTAACAACTAACACCACGCCTTACACTCACAATTGTAACATGTCGTCATGGAAATAAAAAGAGCAAAATATACTTGTTGTGAAACATAAAAGCATATTACGATGAAATTAAGTATGACATGGTGATAATTTGCTGTATTACAGATCTGCCCACACAGTAAGAATGAGAGCCCTCCCACAAGGACAGATCTGTCAGTTGTAAATGAGTGATTAAATTGTTGGCGGTGCTAAGTGCCAGGAATCCAGACTGGTAGCACCATCTAGCATGTCATTAGCTCACCAGAAGGTGGTCACAGGCCGAAGGAAGTGACCACTGGCTATCTATTACCAGCCCTAATGAGGACCAGTTGTGGTCAGCCACTGTTACAGCTAGGAACAGGAAGAGTTCCTACACTGACTACTGTCTACAGCTGTGAAGATCAATCAATGAGGGGTTGCAGCCAGGCAAGAGTCCACTATATTGTGGACACTGGTCATAATGGTCACTGGTCTCGGTCTTCTGCACTTATGTTATCTGAGCTGGCCACACGGCTTATCTCCTGTACCAACTCAGCGTGTTCATCAAGCATCTTCTCCAAATCCTTTTTACGCTGCTCTGCGTTCTCCTACAAAGACAACAACAACATCATAATAAGTCCCTCATTTTTCTCACCATATTTTCAAGAAGTAATATATGAATCAACATTTAAATGTCAAAGACACATTTTCAGGATTCTAATAAATGGCATATTTCAAATTCTTGACATGTACATTTCAAGTAATGTACAAAACCTCATCTGATTTGACTTCCCTCTTAGATTTCCATATAAATGTGCCATATTAATCAATAATGAATTTCAAAACCATCCTTTAATTCTCATCAAAGATACAAGTAAAACTTTTATACAGTCACATTGCATGTCAACAGAATGGAAATCAAACATTCTTTAGACAGTCTGCAGGCAACAGACTGTTTCTTATCAAGTGTTTCTTACTATTTATGGTATCAACTCTATAACCCACAATGTAATATAACATACAGGGACAAGGCATCCTCACTGTGTTGCCTATAACATACAGAGACAAGACATCATCACTATGTTGACCATAATATATAGAGACAAGTCATCCTCACTGTGTTGACTATAACATACAGAGACAAGACATCATCACTATGTTGACTATATTATACAGAGACAAGACATCATCCCTGTGTTGACTATAACATACAGAGACAAGACATCATCCCTGTGTTGACTATAACATACAGAGACAAGACATCATCCCTGTGTTGACTATAACATACAGAGACAAGACATCATCACTGTGTTGACTATAACATACAGAGACAAGACATCATCACTGTGTTGACTATAACATACAGAGACAAGGCATCATTACTGTGTTGACTATAACATACAGAGACAAGACATCATCACTGTGTTGACTATAACATACAGAGACAAGACATCATCACTGTGTTGACTATAACATACAGAGACAAGACATCACTATGTTGACTATAACATACAGAGACAAGGCATCATCACTGTGTTGACTATAACATACAGAGACAAGACATCATCACTGTGTTGACTATAACATACAGAGACAAGACATCATCACTGTGTTGACTATAACATACAGAGACAAGGCATCATTACTGTGTTGACTATAACATACAGAGACAAGACATCATCACTGTGTTGACTATAACATACAGAGACAAGACATCATCACTGTGTTGACTATAACATACAGAGACAAGACATCACTATGTTGACTATAACATACAGAGACAAGGCATCATCACTATGTTGACTATAACATACAGAGACAAGGCATCATCCCTGTGTTGACTATAACATACAGAGACAAGACATCCTCACTGTGTTGACTATAACATACAGAGACAAGGCATCATTACTGTGTTGACTATAACATACAGAGACAAGACATCATCACTGTGTTGACTATAACATACAGAGACAAGACATCATCACTGTGTTGACTATAACATACAGAGACAAGGCATCATTACTGTGTTGACTATAACATACAGAGACAAGACATCATCACTGTGTTGACTATAACATACAGACAAGACATCATCACTGTGTTGACTATAACATACAGAGACAAGGCATCATTACTGTGTTGACTATAACATACAGAGACAAGGCATCATCCCTGTGTTGACTATAACATACAGAGACAAGACATCATCACTGTGTTGACTATAACATGAAACGATAAGACACAGGAGCACATGTCAGTATGGTGTTGACTGTATACGTACAGCGAAAAGATATCATTACCAGTTGACTGACATTAAAAGACTTATCATGCATCCTGTAATTTAATTTCTACAATACACAATGTACATAATGTATATATAGACACATAAGCAATGCTAGAGAAAAATGTCAGTAATGTTCACATTAGTAATATACAAGGAAGCTCATGTTTAAATATTGAATCATTAACAAAATTGAAGTCTGACTTGATATTGTATATACTAAATTTAAGTTCCAATTTTTTTTTCAGTTTAGGTGAATTTCTGATTTATACAATCAAGTTCTGTAATCCGTATTCTTCTGAGATTTCAACCTACCAGCATTTTCTTTAGCTCTCCTCCCTATGGGATTCCCCTATACCACCAGTTTCTTTAACTCTCACCCCTATGGGATTCTTTATACTACTAGTTTCTGTAGCTTCCATCCCTATGGGATTCTCCTATACCACCAGTCTCTGTAGCTCCCATCCATCTAGACATTCCCCTATGCCACCAGTCTCTGTATCTCTCATCCCTATGGGATTCTCCTATACCACCAGTTTCTGTATCTCTCATCCCTATGGGATTCTCCTATGCCACCAGTTTCTGTATCTCTCATCCCTATGGGATTCTCCTATACCACCAGTTTCTGTAGCTTCCATCCCTATGGGATTCCCCTATACCACCAGTCTCTGTAGCTCCCATCCCTCTAGACATTCCCCTATGCCACCAGTCTCTGTAGCTCCCATCCATCTAGACATTCCCCTATGCCACCAGTCTCTGTATCTCTCATCCCTATGGGATTCTCCTATACCACCAGTCTCTGTATCTCTCATCCCTATGGGATTCTCCTATACCACCAGTTTCTGTAGCTCCCATCCCTATGGGATTCCCCTATACCACCAGTCTCTGTATCTCTCATCCCTATGGGATTCTCCTATACCACCAGTCTCTGTAGCTCCCATCCCTCTAGACATTCCCCTATGCCACCAGTTTCTGTAGCTTCCATCCCTATTGGATTCCCCTATACCATTAGTCTCTGTATCTCTCATCCCTTGGAGATTCTCCTATACCATTAGTCTCTGTATCTCTCATCCCTTGGAGATTCTCCTATACCACCAGTTTCTGTAGCTCTCATCCCTATGGGATTCCCCTATACCATTAGTTTCTGTAGCTCTCATCCCTATGGGATTTCCCTATACCACCAGTTTCTGTAGCTCTCATCCCTATGGGATTCCCCTATACCACCAGTTTCTGTATCTCTCATCCCTATGGGATTCTCCTATACCACCAGTTTCTGTAGCTCTCATCCCTATGGGATTCCCCTATACCATTAGTTTCTGTAGCTCTCATCCCTATGGGATTCCCCTATACCATTAGTTTCTGTAGCTCTCATCCCTATGGGATTCCCCTATACCACCAGTTTCTGTAGCTTCCATCCCTATGGGATTCCCCTATGCCACCAGTCTCTGTAGCTCCCATCCATCTAGACATTCCCCTATGCCACCAGTTTCTGTATCTCTCATCCCTATGGGATTCTCCTATACCACCAGTCTCTGTATCTCTCATCCCTATGGGATTCTCCTATACCACCAGTCTCTGTATCTCTCATCCCTCTAGACATTCCCCTATGCCACCAGTCTCTGTATCTCTCATCCCTATGGGATTCTCCTATACCACCAGTCTCTGTAGCTCCCATCCCTCTAGACATTCCCCTATGCCACCAGTCTCTGTAGCTCCCATCCCTCTAGATATTCCCCTATGCCACCAGTCTCTGTATCTCTCATCCCTATGGGATTCTCCTATACCACCAGTCTCTGTATCTCTCATCCCTATGGGATTCTCCTATACCACCAGTTTCTGTAGCTCCCATCCCTATGGGATTCCCCTATACCACCAGTCTCTGTATCTCTCATCCCTATGGGATTCTCCTATACCACCAGTCTCTGTAGCTCCCATCCCTCTAGACATTCCCCTATGCCACCAGTTTCTGTAGCTTCCATCCCTATTGGATTCCCCTATACCATTAGTCTCTGTATCTCTCATCCCTTGGAGATTCTCCTATACCATTAGTCTCTGTATCTCTCATCCCTTGGAGATTCTCCTATACCACCAGTTTCTGTAGCTCTCATCCCTATGGGATTCCCCTATACCATTAGTTTCTGTAGCTCTCATCCCTATGGGATTTCCCTATACCACCAGTTTCTGTAGCTCTCATCCCTATGGGATTCTCCTATACCATTAGTTTCTGTAGCTCTCATCCCTATGGGATTCTCCTATACCACCAGTTTCTGTATCTCTCATCCCTATGGGATTCTCCTATACCACCAGTTTCTGTATCTCTCATCCCTTGGAGATTCTCCTATACCACCAGTTTCTGTAGCTCTCATCCCTATGGGATTCCCTTATACCATTAGTTTCTGTAGCTCTCATCCCTATGGGATTCCCCTATACCATTAGTTTCTGTAGCTCTCATCCCTATGGGATTCCCCTATACCACCAGTTTCTGTAGCTTCCATCCCTATGGGATTCCCCTATGCCACCAGTCTCTGTAGCTCCCATCCATCTAGACATTCCCCTATGCCACCAGTTTCTGTATCTCTCATCCCTATGGGATTCTCCTATACCACCAGTCTTTGTATCTCTCATCCCTATGGGATTCTCCTATACCACCAGTTTCTGTAGCTTCCATCCCTATGGGATTCTCCTATACCACCAGTCTCTGTAGCTCCCATCCCTCTAGACATTCCCCTATGCCACCAGTCTCTGTAGCTCCCATCCCTCTAGACATTCCCCTATGCCACCAGTCTCTGTATCTCTCATCCCTATGGGATTCTCCTATACCACCAGTCTCTGTAGCTCCCATCCCTCTAGACATTCCCCTATGCCACCAGTCTCTGTATCTCTCATCCCTATGGGATTCTCCTATACCACCAGTCTCTGTAGCTCCCATCCCTCTAGACATTCCCCTATGCCACCATTTTCTGTAGCTTCCATCCCTCTAGACATTCCCCTATGCCACCAGTCTCTGTAGCTCTCATCCCTATGGGATTCCCCTATACCATTAGTCTCTGTATCTCTCATCCCTTGGAGATTCTCCTATACCATTAGTCTCTGTATCTCTCATCCCTTGGAGATTCTCCTATACCACCAGTTTCTGTAGCTCTCATCCCTATGGGATTCCCCTATACCATTAGTTTCTGTAGCTCTCATCCCTATGGGATTTCCCTATACCACCAGTTTCTGTAGCTCTCATCCATCTAGACATTCCCCTATGCCACCAGTTTCTGTATCTCTCATCCCTATGGGATTCTCCTATACCACCAGTCTCTGTATCTCTCATCCCGATGG